TATTTTAGAATGTTTGAAACTTCCAAAACATGCTGAAACTGAATAAAACCCTTGAAATCGCTAACCTACCACCAACCCTAACTTTTTTCTGAAAATTGTATATTAAGGTATGGTATTACTGGAAAATCTGTATTAAAAACCACGGCTTCTATTAAAATGGTACAATGCAACAGAGGGGATGCGGCTTCTATTACAGCATCTACACATATGAGAAATAATGAATTTTTGTTCTTAATTGTTCAGAAAGAATGTGTGCGGCTTTTATTAGGTATGCGGCTTCTAATACAGATTTTACAGTACTACGACAGGACTATCACTTCAAAGTCAGGAAGCAGGGTCCTACTTGACATCTTAATGCCTGCTGTCAATTTAGTAATTTTATATTAGTTAGTATTTTAGAGATTTTGTATTATTTAGTAATTTAGTGATTGTATTTGTTATTTAGTATTTTTTTTTTATTTTATATATATTTTTCTCCTTGTACTTTGTGACCATTTTCTTTCCCTTCAGGGATTGTGTAAGAGTCAATAAGTAAATAAAAAATCAAGCACTCTTAAACTATATGTACATTAATGGCACATTAACAATATGGCCATAATTCAATGAGTAAGTATTACATCACGTGATTCTTATATTTCACCTCTGTAACATTCAAGTGCACTTAGTATTATTGGTCATTAACATATTCATAACTATGACATCATTGTACATGTGGTTATTAATAAATGAGATGCATACTTGGAGCTAGTATGAGTCGTCTCCACAAAGTAACTGTTGCCTTCAAGGTCTGTGTATCTTATATAACATCCTCCGAATACCTTGAATTAGAGAATTCATACAATTTCTTTTTTTACTTCTCAACAATTTTGCCTCAATAGAAAAATGTGTGGGCTGTCACATATTTCACCACTGCACAGCGCCCTCTGTTGGCTAAGTGATGAAACCTGCAAAAATGTGTGTGCCAACAAATATTTTAGCAGAATGAAAAAAATCGCTTCACTGCACTATTTTTGAAAAACAGTTTGACAAGAAACTTGTTTTGTTTTTTGTGAAGACTTACAGTCTTTCAGAAAAGCCATTTACCAAATTTATGTTTCATAAACACAAACATTTATAAATTTGAAAACTTGACCAATCAGAACAATCGCTTTGATGACACCGCAGATGAACACACGCTTCTGAAAGGAATGACAGTCTCTGCATACCCGTAGGCATATCAACCAAAATCTGAAAGGCTCTGCAGCACATCACAGAATACTTCATCATTAACTCCAATTAATGGTTAAATTTAATGATATATGCTTGCATTAGGGACGACCTCAAAAGATCGATGTCAGATAAAAATCTTGGAGACTTTGTAGTTCTTTTTTTTTCTATTCAATCATAGAAAAAATAACAGAAAATGAAAAAAAAACATCAAAGACGCGAAAATGGTTTGGTTCGAGTGTAAATATGTGCGTCAAATGAGGTCAATTTCAGGGCATGGACCTAGAGCATGCGCAGAACCCAGAAAAGCAGTTTGCGCATACGTATATTCCGCTTCATTACTACAACCAACTGCTATGCCATACTACTGTTCGATTGTCAATTTGTATTTAATGGTGAATGTCGTCTGACGCCATGATCACTATTTATCAATTAAGTTTCAGTGGAGGGGGGGGGGAAACTAAAGGAATTAAGTTTTTTATCCGACATTGATCTTTTGACGTCGTCCTTTACATTATCAAACTGTTTTTTAATTCCTATTATTTTGAGCAAGGATAAGGCCCTGTAACGGGACGTCTACAGACGTCAATGTATTGACTTCAGTAACCAATAAAAGCAGGAGGGGATTATCACCTGCGCACACACGGGAATTGAGTCCAAGGCGATGATAACAACACATGATAAAAACGCAAAGGTTCATGGGTAGAGGCTTGTTTGTAAACAATGACACGCTATGAACATCTGACGCATGCGCAGGTGACGACTCCCCCGCTTTAATCAATCACACAAATAAATCATCAGGCCCTGTGGGTTAGATAAGTGCTGAGCAGCCAAGGAATCCTTGAGGTAAACAGTGGATGAAATTTTAAACAGGGTTTGATAAAAAATAAAAAAATAAACTTAGTTAAAATTGTGGGTCTTTTCTGTTTCTAGAATTGCGCACACCATTTACGACAAGAACTCCTTATCTGATTTGACGTGAGGATCACTGCCGGGTTGTGGTGGTGTTCACCCATAGTTACCATATACTAATATGCGTCACTGGTTTGACCACCATTTTCGCAATCCAACCGATCGTTTTGACTCTTTTGAAATTTAAGATTTTCGGTAATTTTAGCAAAATTTAGGCAATTTTTTAGCAAAAACCAACGTTGCCCCTTTTGGGTCCGGTTTTCCCTTGTTGTGGGGCACCCCCCCCCCCCTCCAAAAAAAATCTAGGTGAATACCCCCACAAGGTGGGGGCTGACTTACCGCTGCTTTCTGAAAATTTCACGACTGCAGTGCCGTTCGGTCTGATGAGAACACCGTTGACATCTCCGCCGCCACTTCTTCGATGACTCTGGAAATAGATCGTCAATTTATCTTCATTCGTAAATTCGGGAAACCCGGATACAAGAACAGCATTTGATGAATATTTTGACGAATAGTTTGAGGACGCCATTTTTACGAAGTGTGTCTCAGTTTCCGCGATCTCGGCCAGTCTAAGTCAGAGCTCTGCCCAAACGAAAGCTCAGTAAGTCGTGTCAACAAACATTACGGTACACTGTGACGTTGATTATGACTAACCGCATGATAGCGAATGAAATAAATTCAAATTAAAAACTTAAAACGAGATAACGTTTCAGATAAATACAACAACTTCAGAATTAAATACCCCGTCTGGCACCGACCGTGTCAACACTGTACGCGGAACTAATCTGACCTAGTTTTTCTGGGAAATTTGAACACGTGGGCAAGATGGCCTTTTATCATTGGCTAAAACTAATCGCCTCAATATACCGGGAATCCCCGATGCCGTCATAATCACGTGATTGATGGCTATTATTAAACAACTTGGATTTTTCCATTGTCTAATTTTAGTTGAAAACATTTCCAGATACAATGTTATTTCAGCCTATGGAAAATGAAGCAATAATAATTTTGCCTCAAACATACCAACTCCTACAACACTACTAATATTCAGAAATGTAAAGCTAGCATTGGATGAGGGCGCTAATATAATAACTTTATTATATTACTATGCCATCAGAGGGCGCAGTATGGTAAATAATATAATAAAAATGCAAACCATAAAAAATAAAACAGCTAAATGAAAAGATAAAAATGATTACAGGTATGTTCTAGGTTATTACTAAATCATAAGCTCAGATTTCTGCCCCGTACATTAAAATTGGTGAAATTGGTTGGTCAAAAAACTTTAAACACAGTGATTTAATTTGTTTTGTGTATAGAGAATAAAGCTTTCGTTGCTTTGTTTTTTAACATTAATAAATTCGATTTAAATTTCCCATTTGGTGTGAATATAGCGTCTAAATAACAGCATTCACTCACTGCTGCAATATTTTGGTTATTAATTGAGAAATTTTGACTTTTTAGAATTCTATTGCCAGTATTAAAAACCATTACTTTATTTTTCTTTATGTTCAGTACAAGACTTCATTTTCACAATAGTTGGCTAGTTTATTCGAAAAATTTGGTAGACCTTCGGGAGTTCTTAAAGACTAATACTAAGTCATTTGCATATTGGATACAATTTATATGTTTTTTACCAATCAAGACTGGGTCATCATTTTTTTTTTACTAAATAGATAAGGTAGGTCATTCGGGAATGTATTAAATAGTATTGGTGAAATATTGCATTGTTGCTTAACACCAGTAGACTTCTTAAAATAATTTTATATTGCCTTCACAATATTATAGAAATTTCCAATGAGCTATGATGAAATTGTTTGCACGTATCTGTTTAATAATCGACTTAATTAGTTGATTACTAGCATGTGGCTGTGTTATGTCTGTCATCGTTTCGGCCCATTTGAGGTTCTGGACGAAACTCGACTCAGTTATTTGGAACTAATTACGAGATAACCGTCGCTATTCGGACTACTATTTCTGACAGTTGGTATTCGTAGTTATTAATGTAGTGAACGATTAATCAAAAGATATGACGTGTTCAGTACTTAGTGTGATTGGCTGTATGATTGAAGGTTACGCCATAGAGTCTTTTTACTGCTTTGTAATTGGTTAGAGTTTTGAAAATAAATAAAGTTGTTTTAGTTGGTCTTGGCGAGTACACCAGGAGAGAGACGAGTCCTAGAGAGTCTTGGGGAGAGTCTTGGAGAGTCTTGAAGCGAGTCTTGACGCAGTCTAGAGGTAGTCTTGGGTCAGCCTTGCGATAGTCTTGGGGACTTTTCCCCAGGGCGCTGTGTCTTATAGAGTGCTCGACTGACTGACTAAGACGAGAGTTGAAACGTATTTCGTTGTGTATGTACTATTTGACTATAAAGTTTAAGTGACTTACCCGATCCCGTACCTCAAGGGGACGCGATAGAGAGACCAGACGAGATTCCCCCCTGACACGTGTGGAGAACCCTAGAGGAGGAGAATATCCCCCGTGATAGAGCCCCAAGTTTTGCAATTTAAGAAATAATGCATCTTTCCAAACACGGTCGAATGCTTTTCTGAAATCTATAAAACAACTGTACAAACGTTTTTGTTTACTGACATTTTCTTTAGTGTATAATGTTTTATCTACTATTGTTTTAGTGGAAAAATTGCGTCAGTTGTTCTTCTCTGTTTTCTAAATCCAAATTTTAGTTCATTTAATAATTTATTGCTTTCTAAATAGGATGTCAGTCTGTTATTCATAATACTAGTAAATAGTTTTGATAAGCAACTTGATAACGCAATCGCTCTATAATAATTTGGGTCGGATTTGTTGCTGGATTTATGCAATGGAACCAGTATTGTTGATTTCCAGCTTCTTGGGAATTTTCGAGTAATGTTTCCTTTTAATTTCCTTCACTAAATCAATGTATTCGGCGAAGATCATTTCGCCGAGTGCCGACGATGGATGTCACTTTCGCGACTAGTCCTCAATTAGTATTTGTTTCCTGCTGTTTAACGATGATTTGAATTTTTTATTGAATTACAAAATCTCAAATCTATGTAATATATAATCTAAAGGATGTATAGAGATATGTTATAAATTCTTGATAATCTCGATGAATTACCGTACTCAGCACGTCATCGCACTCACACAAATACAAAAGAGGTAGATAAAAAATAAAAGGTCTTCTTTAAAGGGCGGTAGTCGACGTGCCGCGTCCTGGTCGATATGGGACTCATAGCGACGCATACAACGCCTGTAAAGTACATTATGTACATGAAATTCGAACACGCGCTGCGCGACGACCACCGCCCTTTAACCTTATAAGTATTTTGTTTGCTCCGTGGTAAGGCGATTAGTTGTTTCTATGTAAAGTATAGTCACGCAAACGTATACACATTTTCTTGTTCTTTTTTGTGGTTTATATTAGATTTCTTCTTTTCATGTACTCTCCCAAATGTTTGTCGAAAGACCAGGCGTACAGTAGATTATACATGTAGTTTTTGGGTTCCCAGCGCACAATACCTCAAATCTGACAGCCGTTCCTACTTTAATAGTCATTTTGGCCATAGGAAGTTAAAAGTCGATTTTTTCAAGTTGCGACTTTTAATAGTACTTCGGTACTTGTCGATTTTCATCCTTCAAGTGATTGTGTGAAAGACTCCTATTCAGAGTGTTTTTGCATTGATTTATATAACCTAATTAAACAGCCAACAGAGGGCGCTGTGCAGTGGTGAAATATGTGACAGCCCACACATTTTTCTACAGTACAGTAGATAGTCAGTCGTTTATGCATGAATTTCTGGGTCTATTTTTCAATAATCTGAAGATGCTCGTCTTAAGGGTTGAACTGTGGTGGTGACAATAGCAAGATTTAAAAAAAAAAATTGCACCGGAACATAACCATGGAAAAAAATCCTGGATAATTATTAACAGAAACAACATTCTGCACAACTAAATCTGAGGGGGAAAAAATTGCACCATAGGAAAAGAAAAAAAATCGTAATTATAGCATGAATTCATATTGTATACCTCAGCAAATGTAAGCCAGGAAATACTTGCACTTTCTGCACATATTTTAATGTCTCACATTTTTATTTTTGTCAGCCCAACTTTTACATGCCTAGAATTGGCGAGATAATATTAGTGCCAGTACCATAGTAGCATTCACCATAGGAAGTTCTGAATGATAGACCCACTAAGATTGAGTTATTGCTATAGTTGATTTCAAATTTAAAGTTAAAGGGTGGTAGTCATCGCACCACGCATATGCGTGATATATGGGTCTCGTATAAACAAAGATGACGATTTTGACTGATAAACGAGTACAAACTGAGAATTTACCAAGCTTCAATTAGATACTTTTTTAGGTGATTGCGCTAATGTCTCGGCAAGACGAGTCCCACTTACAAAATATTAAGAAATTTAAATTTGACTCTGGATAACTTTATTAGAGATTGGACCCCAGCTTGCCTGAAAAACTGGGTCCCTTTTCAATAATTGGAGTCCGGGAAGCAAAATATGGGGTTAACGCAATCCCTGTCAGATTAGAAGGTATTGAAGAAGTAACCGGCGGTAATTAGTAGTGGTGTCTAGGTCAAACCTCATATTTGTGATTAGAAGAGCACATTTGATTGTGGAAAAAATCAATGTTTATCAACACAAATGTCGCCCTCTAGGCTAATCTTATAAGTATTTAATTGATCCCAATTACACTTGTGTTGGTGTTATGTTTCTACTCAGAGACATCTGTTAAATTTGATTACTAACTCCAACTATCGGTAATTTATTTTGAAATTTAAGCTAAGCTAATGAGGCACATTTTCATCAATATCTCCAAAAATATTTGAGTAAAGTACATCAAACTTGAACTGCACTGAAATTATATATAGGTAGAGGATATTTTAAAGTTTGAAAACGATTGAACAAACATTCCATGGCAACAAGAATTGTTAACAACGACGACGACAGACATTGTAACCAATACACCACCATTATGGGCAAGATAAAAAGTGTAGTCACAACAAACAAGGATCTTTTTGGATATCTTTTATTCACTGGATACAAAATTCCTATTTCTCAGGAAAAATAACCAAAATATACAAAGAAAAATATCCCCATAAAGAGAAAATATATATATATATATATGTATGGCAAAGTACATAATACCGTGAAAGAAATCTATAATCTACAGATACATTTCAACACAAGGTTAATTTGAATATTGTTATGTGTGAGGTTATTTAATGAATCGTATTGTCAAGGGTGGATGAAATAAAGGTCGGCAACTTTCAATAAAATCTCACAGTAAAATCATGTAACGAGTCAAAGTGATATTGTCACAGATTTACTGATTTGTTAGTAGATCAATCTGCAAATAAATTATCTGTGCATTGTGGACCTGGGAGTTATTACAGCATTACTAATTGGTTTTATCATTAGAAACTTGTTAGGTATTTGTGAGGTTGATATTTTGTGAGCTTTAAAGTTGCTACCTGAATTGAGAACCTCGGTGGAATGACAGTCACAAAACTAGAGTCTTGAAAAATTAATGCGATTCATTGTATTTCAGTTTTTAAGAACCTTGGCCAGAGAGGAATGCATAATAAATTTATTTAATAATCATTACTTCACAGGTGAACCCTTGTTAGAACTTCTTTTCATGGAAGATTTTTTTTTTTTATATATATGTCCCAAGTCTGGCAAATATACTTTAAATGGTGCCTGGCCTTTTGGAATATTGATGCCAAATTTTAATAGTTATGAAATATCAGAAAATACAAGTTCAAGAGTTCATTAAGCAATATGTGCAGATTTATGCATGGCGAGATTTGTAACGTGGTTGCCTACCCTTATCTCATCCACTCTTGATTGCATACAGTTTTAGCTTAAAATTAAAAACAAAGATCAAACAAATACAGTCTATGACAAACTTACCATGCAAGTCATCTATTTCAACAAAGGAGTTTGCATATTTCAACAAGATTATAAATCAGTTTTCTGCATATAATGAACCCTTTTACAGCCATAAAATCTCTGATTTGTCCTATTAATTCATACTTTAATAGTTCATTGATTCAATTCATCAAATACAAGTCGGTTTTAATATTAGAGACGTGATAGTGGTCAACAATGGCGGTGAAGGGGTTGAAGTTCTAATAACAAGAAAGTGAAAATTAAAACAATTCTGAATAAAAAATAATAATTATGATTAACAGGCCATATTTGCAAAATATTAGTAATCCCATTACAAATGAGTGTATTGTCATTTTTTTTTTTAATAAAAAAAAATTAAGCGAAAAATCTGGTGGGATTGTTACAAAGAATATAATGTATCAGACCACGTTGCATTATGGTGACTGTTGGCAGTGGAAAATGGGGAAGTCATACGGTATATATAATTAGACATCTGGGGGGGGGGGGGCTATAGCAAACTGAGATATAAATCTCACTCGCCAAAAAGATATTTTTCTTAAAGACTGCATATGTAGTAAAAATATAGTTAATCAAATAGATGAATTCCGCTAAAATATCTCGCAGTCCTCGGCACATCTATAAATACAGATTCTCAGTCATTACCTGGGAGAGTTTTGCCATCTTTTTTTCTTTCTTTCTTTCTTTCTTCAATGTATTTGAAACTAAAAGCAGCTGACTACATGTAAAAACAAAGAACCGTCTCTTAGTCCTCTCCGTCCATCCAATAATAAAAACTAAATTAACATCCCCGTATTTGAACACACAAGACATGTACTTTTCATACATAATTCTAAAATATAACACTGTAAACTGAAGCAGTTTCTAAGTATCAACAAATATAAAGATCAAAAATAAAAACTCTATACATGTACTTAGCTCAATTGATTTGTGTCACAAGTTTGAAATAAAAAAAAGAAATTTCAATTCACTCAAGGCAAAAATAACAAATAATTTGAATGAATTTTTATGTGAACCAGAATAGATTAGTTTTGAGTTCTCTGGCAGCATCATGAGCATGTGCAATGCAGATTTTGCGATATAAAGGGGTGGTGTTATAACCAGCACATTTGTAGATACACTGCATTTTGGTCACAAGATTGTCGGAGTATATTATTTTGTTAAATTTTCAAATTAACCTGGAATCACAGATCTGGCACTGGACTGACCCCCCATAGCTTACAAGATCGACATTGTCACATGCATGACAACATAACAACAAAATATCCCAAAATGCTGCTAGTGACATCAATCAAACGCATAAAAACATTTGACAAGCAATAAACCCGTCTAACACATCCTTTACAGCGTACTTCAGTTCAAGTCATCAAATGTACACGCTCAACTTTATCCATAATCGCTATGGAAACAACATGTATTAGACGTATATGTAACAATTTAACTAATTAATTAATGTTTTTTTTCACCTTTCCTTGTGTCTTGGAAAACAAGACAATGAAACAATATAGATGCCCAGTTGAATCCAAACTGAGTTTGTACATTTCAATACAAAAATATTACGTTAACTTCGCACATACTAAAACTGCACGCTGGAAGTTTAAATATACAGAGAAATTTCATTAAAAATACAGTACAATAAGGCACTTAAAGGAATGTTGGTTTGTTAGATGTTTCACAATGTGTACGCTACATGGCAGTGATTGTTTTAGAGTTGGATACAGGTAACAAAATACAAAGGGTGGATAATATAAAGGGCTGGTAGCTTCCATGGTTAACTGTTGGCAACAACTACGAAGATCTCACGCGAGATTTCAATTCACAACATACATTACATGCTATATAATAGCAATTTGATGTAAATATTTGTCAGGATTTTATTTATTTTCAGATGGAGGTACTATTATCATAAAACCATGTAATAAAAAGGCACATCTTTCCTACACATGTAAAACCATGCAGGAAATCAGTTCACTGAAAAAAGACTTGTGGTATACAACACACACCAATGTTAAATTTTCTGATAGATAAGTTATTGTGCATATAATATGTACATCAGGTATTTTAAAGCGAGAGGATCGTCATCTGTGCATACGCGAGAATTGAGTCCCAGGCCACTATAACAACACACCTCTAAAAACGCAAAGGCTTATGGGTAGACGCTTGTTTGTAAACAATGACGCGCTATGGCCATCTGACGCATGTGTAGGTGACGACTCCCCCGCTTTAATAACATTATAGTTTGTTTATGTAATTTAGTCTTCTTTATTTTTGAGAATTTAAATCGATTAAAATACTAAACGTGACAGTTAGTAATCGCAAGAGTTTATTTTTCTTACATATAGCCAAAAATAATCAAGATTAATGTACATTTTGTAAGAGACTTTGTAGCAATGACAATTTCTGTGTCTGTCCCCCAGTTTTGTCATCATGAAGGCTATAAAATTTATAAAATTATGAGGAATCCCAGCAAATGTCAGGATTTTCTGACCAGCAAGATTATTGTATTAAAATTCAAAGTATGCACTCACAGACAAAAATAAAACAGTGATGGATATTTAAGCAAGAGTTTGATTTTGGTATAACTTTTTGCCTGTTTCGGATAATTTTTAACCAGATTGTCTTAATTAAAATCTTGGAAAAAAATATTTAAAAATTATTACGTGGATATTTTGTGTCTTGGTACTCAAAATACAAAGGTTCCAAACCAAAAATTAACTTCAATCAAGTTAATACATGAATGACTAAGAAATTCAAAAGCTGTTGAAATTTGTCCATTGCCAAGTTACTATAAATTTAAAACAATACAGAGAAGACAATACAACTTCAAATAAACTTATCAAGCAGGTTAGAAAGTGCTAAGGTAAAATAAACATTATTTAGAAAATGTTTTTCATGATTTAGTCACCAGAGGGCGCTGGTCTTCGTTAATGCATATTTTTAAATCCTTCACCATTATATAGCTTACTTGAAAAAAAGATATTTAAAACAGATGACTACTTCCTCCTATTATCTGTGAATATTTACATACATTGTAATTTTGGAGTAGAAAAATGAGAGAGCAAATGTCAATGGAAAGGTTTGTGTGTAGAATATTTCCATGCATTGAAATTAACAAATGAAGAAAACTAATTGAAATTAACAAATGAAGAAAACTAATTGAAATTAAACTGCAATACACTAAAATATGTTATTGATTAAATAAGTATACTATTATGTCTATTGATGTCTACAAAATCTTCACTTCAGTTATGATGATTATGAAGTGAACACAGTACAAACAAAATGAATATGGCAACTGCAAACTTTTTGCATGGATAAATGTATGAAACGAATAAAAATGAAAATCTCTTTGATTTTAAACTGCACTCCTTGCCACACAAAACACCCCATAAAGAAATGTACAATAGCGTGTTTGCTCCATTAGCAGCGCATACATTTTGATACATAAATAACAGAGGTGATATGGTCAAAATAAGTCTTACTATCCGGCATACAAAAAAATGCCATTTTTGGAGTAAGTGTGTTTCTACTGAAAATGCACTTCTAATATTTTGTATTCTTCTTGTTCATACGAAATGGAATGAAAGACGTTATCATACTACGGGTAATAGCTGGTACAATATAGTGAGGCTATACTTAGTAACGTTGGCCAGTACTCCAGACAATCAAAATGCATCTTTTAAACAACAAAAACACTACATGATCCACATGTTAGTAAACCTAGTAACACAAACAAAAATTTAAAATTCACATAGCAAATCAGTATGATGGTCAAAATCAGCCATTCGGTCAAAGGTTAGGTTCAGCCAACAAAGATTTTAAATATCAGTTTGATTCTCTAAAAAATTTGCAAGACTTTGGAATATTTTCATTGCATTATGAGAAAAGTTGGAAAGGGAAGTCATTTGCATCAAAGGTGAACATTGGTTATCAAATTTGAAAAATGAAGTCATGTTTCAAACACAATACGTATTAAGACATAACTTCACTTTAATTATGACTGGTTATTATCTTCCCTGCTTCAATCCACATTTTCCCAAGATGCATTTTAATTTATAGAACACTAAATCTGTCAACCCGGAATCTTAAAGTGGCATAATCAATGGCGAATTCAATAGGCATGTTTCATTAAAATAGTACAGTTTACTCGAGTTGATTGTAGAATTCCTGATTCTGAATATATTACTTTTTACTGTATCGTAGTTCAAACATCTGTCATGGCATCAGGGAAAGAAGGGAGCATGATATGAGGAAGAGATTGGAACCACCAACACTTATTTTCATGAAAAATATTTTGTGAACTTTCAACACTTTTCAACAAACTGGTTTAGGCATGCATATTACTCAATGAAAGTGCCAGTCACCACATAATGTTGGATACACATGTAAAATTCATTGTTTACATATTGTGCAAATTTTTCGGCTCAGTTAAATGAGGTAGTATATGTAAATAGAAATACGTAAAAAAAAAATTTAGAAACTAAGATTTGTTTTTCAGTGGAGCAATAAAAAATGTGTTGGGAGAAATTGGGAAATAAAAACTAAGGTCAGTCTCAATGCACTAGTTCAGTGAAAAAAAATATAAAAAAAAAAATATTTTTTTGTTTTCAATAAAGTAGTTAATAAATGTTTTCTGAGAGATTTGCTTAGTCAGGTTAGATGTACTTGAACTAGATGAAATAACAAAATCCTGATTGTAATAATTGTCAACGTCTAAGAACAATGTTAATGTCATATTAAAAATGGGTGCTGTTAGGAGTTCAAAAATGCTGATAACACAATATTTATCAACAAATATTGCTAGGCTTCACAGCCAAGAATTAAAATCTTGACAACAATTCTCATAACTAAGTTTTAAACTAAAAACCATATAGTCAGAAATGGTAGTGTGAATGTAGTTTTATGATATTGGGAAAGGTTTCCATGGAGACAAGCTTTACATGTATATAAGGCATCCATTTTGTTTCTCTTCTGTATCTTATATACCCTAGTGATACAGCGCCATTTCCATTAGGTATGCACAACAATGAACCAATAAAATTTAGATCTATTTCTTCTACAATTACTTGCAGTATAACAATTAGAGGGCAGTTGATCTGGTCACAGCAGCACTTGTTGGTGCTCCATGTAATGGGTGTCCCGGAGTGCCCCTTGCATATAGTATTCCTTGATACAAGACACCATTCAGTTCTATACTGACTATTAATGAATTGTCTCCTCGTAGTTCAAGCATCGGCATTCCGCTATCTGCGAAAAGACAATGAATATTATTATTTTAACGAAATAAAATAATATTATTATCGTATTACCGGTAGGACTTGTGTATCTTTGTGATCTTGATACTTTATAATTCATTTGAAATTGAAATTAGGTCTTCAAACCAAACTTAAACTTTTTTTCCCCTCTGCACTTCATCATGGGAGAACGTCATCAAAAGATCACATTTGTCGCGCGCAGTTATCTAACATGAACAAATTTTACTTTCTGTATGATGTTCTCTAAGCTAGTTTGTAATTTCAGACATTGTTTTGATAACCACGAGTTGAGTCCTGAGAGACTAGATCGGTTTCTGTAGCAACCGTGACGCTATATCCAAACGTTCGCTACATTGTTTCCCATTGCGTTCTCGCGGTATTTGTCTGTTTACCGCCCAAAATTCCCACCAAAGTTCTCCCTCGTGTTAGTCGCGTGTCACTCCTAATATGGAATGACAGCGCTATGTTTCGTTTGTATGCGCCAATCATTAGCGTTGTTTTATTTTCGGACGTTTTGGCATGATATATTCTAGAGTACAAA